TATTAGTCTATGCAAATCATCAGGTATTGGCTTTGTTGATCCTTTCTAGCATATGTTTGTTCTTATTTAATTAATCTCAGCTCTTATTATTTTCTTCCTTATACCCTCTTGGAGTTTACTTTGCTCTTCTTTTCCTAATTTTTTAAAATTGGATGCTTGGGTCATTGTTCTCCAGGTGGTTTTCCGTTCTAACTTATAAATTTTCCTATACATAGGGACTGAGTTATATTACACAAAATTTGATATGTGGTACCTTCATTTTCATTCATTTCAAAATATTTTCTGGGCTTCCCTGGTGGCGCAGTGGTTGAGAGTCTGCCTGACAATGCAGGGGACACAGGTTCGTGCCCCGGTGCGGGAAGATCCCACATGCCGTGGAGCGGCTGGGCCCGTGAGCCATGGCCACTGAGCCTGCGCGTCCGGAGCCTGTGCTCCGCAACGGGAGAGGCCACAGCAGTGAGAGGCCCGCATACCACAAAAAAAAAACAAAAAAAATATTTTCCTATTTCCATGATGATTTTTTCTCTGTTCTGTAGTTCATTCAGAAGTCTATTTCTTAATTTCCAAATTATATGGATTTTATAATTATCTTTTGTTAATGATTTCAAGTTTAATTCCATAGTAGGTAGAAAACATGCTATATATAATTTCAGTACTTAGAAATACGTTGAGACTTGCTTTATAGCCTAGCATGTGGTCAATATTTGTAAACGTTCTATGTGCACTTGGAATTTCTGTGTATGCTGTAGTTATTTAATGCAGTGTTCTGTATGTATCAATTGGATCAAATTTGTTAATCATGTTGGTCAAATATTCCATATTCTTTCTAAGTCGTCTGCTTGTTCTGTCAGTTAGTTAATGAGAAAGGGGGTCATAAAAGTCTCTGACTATAATTGTGAATCTGCCTTTTTCTCTTTTTTGTTCCTTCAGTTTTGCTTCAATATTTGGCTTGGTGTTTTCTTCAGTATTGGAAATTTCCTAGCCATTATCCAGTCAAGTATTTTTTCTGTCCCCATGAGACTGACAAAAGCTTTACCCAACCTTTGAAACTTCCAGCTGCATCTACGACAGACACTTCTAGAAAAGAAGCATCCAAAAATATCAGACACCTCTCTGGGTTTTCATTTTCTCCTAGCTTTATAATAAGCAAATATAATTGCTGGAACTTGACCCAGCAATTCTTTACCCTTTTGTGAATTCTAGTAGTAACATCCAACAAATTTTAAAATATATTTTGTCTAGATTTTCTAGTTCTCATCAGAAGAGAATAGTAAAAATTATTTAGGTCACAATCACTAGAAACAGAGCTCCACCTTTACATTTTTATATGCATACTTGACAAAGTATCTCTTACCTGACTCCTGAAAAATACAAGGCTTTAGAAATATTGAACACAGGGTACTCCATTGCACATATTATGATAAGATAATATTTTATTTCACTACTGTCTTCTAACCCCCCAATTGTTATTGTTGTTGATGTTGTTGTTGTTACTATTATATAGTCAATGCTTCTTTGCCATCTCTCTGAGCTAGTGGATAGTTTATTAGTCCCCATCTCATTGAGATTGCAGCTTTTCAGGGGTTGTCCTTGCTTTCTGCAGGAGTTTCCGTCCAACTCCCCATCTTAAATGGGCCAAAGACCTCATCTCTTTTCCCTTTGTGGACACAGATACCCAAGCCCCTGGTCATTACTGGGTATAATAACCCCTCTGTGCTGCCAGAGGGTTGACTTATATGCTTACGTCTTTGACTGTTAGCATCCTCTTTGCTTCCAGTGCTTGAGAATTTCTCTTTCTTGTGAACTAAGACATGCAATTTTAAAAATTATTACATTATATTCACCATTTCTAAGGGTTTGTATCAAGGTGGTTTAAAGATAGCCTAGTCTGCCATTTTGCCAATACTGTTCATCTAGTTCTGAACAGTGAATGAATACTAGATGAATACTATTTCATCTAGTCCTACTACTTTTCAGGAAATCATCAGAATGATGTACTCCTGTGTCTAAAATTTATAGTTGTATAAAGCAATATATGCAAAATGTTTGCCTCTCATTGTTTCAGTCAGCTCTGGCTTGATTGGCTTTGACCACTTAGCTTTCTAATCTTAGAAATGCCCTTTCAGTTCAACTTTTAGTGTCTTGACGGAGGCCATTAAGGGGAGCAGAATTACAATATCAGATTCACTATAAGAACTGAATTTTAAAATCCAGATTATCAATCATAGATTCAAAATCAAGATATAGAGTGTTGGTGCTAATTCAAGATTAACCTACTTGAGCTACCATTTATTAGGCTAAGTCCCCCCTTTTTGGTATTGTCTGGGTCCTAGACTTTTCTCACAACCTGGTGATCCCACACACAGTTTTCTATTCACTCTTCCACCCAGTGCAGTCTGGCTTTACAACTACCACTTTATCAATACAGCTGTTTCTAAAGTTACCAACAATTTCCATGTGGTAAATCCAATGGGTACTTCTCTGCCCATGTCTCACTTGACCTCTGAGCAATATTTTTTACGTAACTGAAACCATTAGGTGGCACTTCAGGGGCTCCGAGGAGCTCCAGTTCTTTATGACTCAACGCAGAAGGAATTCAGCAAGAGGCAAAGTGATAGATAAGAAGTGATTTATTAGAATAGGACACTTGTGAGGCTTACAAGCAGGTGGACGAGAGGGTGCCGCACCCCAAGAACTTAGTGGGCTACAGTTTTATGATCAAAGGAAAAGTGGGGAGGGGGAGAAAACCACCTTCTTCCTCATTCTTGAATAGACATCAAAATTCCATCGTCATCAGTTCCTCCTCCACGTCGGGTGGGGGAGTTTTCTTGTCCCTACATGGTCAAGCTGGGACTGTCATGGTGCAATGGAAGTGAGCAAAAAGGCAATAACATATACTAAAATATGTTAAATCATTTCAGGTTTTAGTATAATGTCACCTTTTCCTTATATTTTTGTTTTTAGTGCATGCAGAGGAGCGTGTCCTAGTAATCATTAACTTAGCTCACTGGGAAGGATGTGGGTCTCATGCCACCATTGTTTTATTATTTGGGGGCATGTCTCATGTTTCTGTTACCTGGTTTTGTTGCTAAGCAAGCCTGCTTGGTTTTGTGGTTAAGCAAACCTGCTTTCTTGAGTGATCATTAACTTACAGGGGTCTCCTATACTTTTTTCTTTACTTATAATCCCCTAGTGGGATTAACTGTTTAATCACCTACTTTGGCCCTTTACTCTGTCCCTATGATGACTACCCCCTTCTTCTTGAAAAGGTGTCCTCTTTTGGCTTTAGCTGTACCACAATCTATAAGATTTCCTCCTATCACTCACTGCCCTCTCCTTCCCAGTCTCCTTTGATGGTTCCTCTTTTTCTACCTTATCTTTAAATCACAGAACACCTCAGGGCTCATTCCTTAGGGGATATCATCTGGTCTCAAACTTAGATGCTAAATACCACCTATATGCTAATGGTTGCCAATTTCATATCTCTAACCCTGGCCTGTCAAATTCATATATCTTAGTGCTTAATTGACATCTTCATTTGGCTATCTATACGTTATCTCAATGCTAATCTGTTTGATCTTCCATCTTATTCTTCCTTTATCCTTTTCCATTTTGTTAGTGGCAGCATTATTCACCCATTTGTTTAAGCCAAAACTTTTATTTTTCCCTTTCCTTCATTTCCTATATCCTCTCTTAAGGAATTCATATTGGTTCTACCTCCAAAATATATCTCAAACTGCCCAATGACCCTGTCAGGTGTAAATATTATTACTTTCATTGTGTAGTTACACAAGCAGAGATTAAGAAAGCATGTTAGTAATTTGCCTAAGGATACGCAGCTTTTATGCAGAGGAATTCTTATTCCAAACCATTTACTCTTTCTATGAAATCTTGACCCTCAAAGGATACTTGTGAATGAATTAGTGAATATATTGATCCAGATAGTAATAAAATTCATAATCATGGCTTTATCAGAAGAATATTCTCACCTACTGAAAAATAACTCTGCTACCTATAGTGTAGAAACCTTTGTTACATATGAAGAGCTTTGTTACATGTAATATAGGGTAATGCTTACATCATCATATGTCAATATCTATCAATATATAAAACCAGTTTCAGAATTTAAGACTATGAAAGATAGACAACTTGGCTTCCAGCACACCCTCTTTTTCATTCAAGGATATGTGGCCAATTGTACCCAAAACCTATTGCATTCTTTCGATAGGCTTTTATCTCCCTTCTGCTCCTCCAGCAAGGGAATTTTATGAAGAAACAAGCTAGCCAAACTTTTATTTTGGTTTTCTACTGTCATGATTTTGTTAATATTCAGTGTTTCTCAAAAAAAAAGTCAGGGATACAGAAGAGAGAAACTGGGCAGAGCTAATAATACACCTTGATTATACTGGCTAAATACTGAATGGCATTTTGAGATAAGAAGACTGTGTATTTTAATCAACCAAGAGTCATTTTAAATCCTTAAAATAAATGCAAATATTGTTAGTATGATCAGAGAAAGCAGTTGATTACTGTCACTGGCAGCTTTACCTCTTGTATATTATGAATTTTATTAGAAAGTTATCATCTTTCTGATTGTAAAACCCGAATGAAATTAGGGCACTGTGTGTTTTCCCCAGTGATTTCTTGTAGCATCACAAAATCCCTACAACATTACCTGTAATCTTAATGAATGTTTAGTGAAAACCACCTGACATTTGATTGGCACTGACTTCATTTCTAAGCCTTGAGTGCTGTTATCATTTTGTGGACTGCTCAAAAGCAATATGATTTAGAGTTTATTTTATACATAGAGATATAACTACCTTTTTTAACAGAGCTCCTTGTACATTCACTCAAATGCTAGAGGGCTTTGTGCCATTTTGATTATATATTTTAAATACAGGTATAGACTGAGATTTTGATAATTCTAATGTGTTTTTGAAAGAGTAGGCTCTGGTTGTAATAAATATGTAAATACATCTTCTTTGAATTCCCCACAGAACTCTGTACCATGGAGTGTGGTAGCCATGGAGTCTGCTCAAGGGGAATTTGCCAATGCGAAGAAGGTTGGGTAGGACCAACATGTGAAGAACGCTCCTGTCATTCTCATTGTGCTGAGCATGGCCAATGCAAAGATGGAAAATGTGAGTGTAGCCCTGGATGGGAGGGCGACCACTGTACAATCGGTAAGTACCACCATACTTTGAACAAAGTAAATTGGATGAATTGAAGAAGTAAAGCAGTCTAGCAAGTCAATCACCAAGCTGTTTGTAGAATTTGAGATGGGAAGAGGGAAGAAGTAGGAGGGCTGGCCATAAGTTTGAAAGTTTCCTTAACTGGGAGGTTTCCTGTTTTGTTGATAATATCTTACTTATTTCTGTGTCTTTTCCTTTCTCATTACTTCATTATTCTTTATATTTTCTGCTTTCAAGTGCTTTGCGTTACTCAAATGAAAGATGATACATTAGAATATAGTGTCATTAGTTAATAAGAAAAGTGCTTTTGTTGTAAAGTTAACATTCACTGGCCATTTTTCCTTTTGAAAAGTATAGGTTGTTTTGGTTGAAAGCACTTAGAGGCAGTTTCATTAAATGGGACTACTTTATCAGGGGCCATTCAATGTCATTAAGGGCTATCTTTAATGTGTATAAGGAAGACACTCCTGACCTGCTATCAATAGAACATCTGTGTTGAATTGTTTATTGGGTAGTATAGAGAGTTCGTACCGAGGCATCTACCCTCTCTCGTCCCTTGTCACCAATTTCACTAATTTTCAGGCTGCTTCCTGGGAGAACACCTGTGGGTGTGAGAAAGTCTATGTAATAATTAATCTATCACGTGGTCTTCACACCATAAAAAACACTAATAATAATGAAAGTTTCATTTATAAAATACTTTTTTCTGAGAAAAATATCAAAGCCCTTGACACACACATGTATCTGCCACCAAGGTTCCCTGCGTATACAGAGGGACAAGTATGATTACCATTGTTCAGCTAAGGAAAGTGGGTAACAGAATGTTCCAGTGTCATTCTATGAGCACACAGAAAATTCATACAGTGCAAAAGCAAGCGTGGGCCTCTGGATACACAATTCATTGTTTATGGGCTTTTTTTCCCCTCTAGACTGTACTACAGCTTTCATTTTTAGGTGATTTTTGTTATAATGGTTGGAACCTGCCAAAGTAATGTATAGTATATATAATATATATAACATAATTTTAATAAACTGCATTACTACTCAACTACAGTCAGTCTTGCTCTGTGACTGTGGAAAATACTTAAGATTCATTAAAAAGGTGGTGAGGGGTGAGATTCAGATGCAGCTTAAGTAATTACATTCCTGCACTAGAGTAAGTTTATTGCCTTCACACAGGAGGATTTAAATATTGTCATGATTACCAAAGGTGGTTACTCCAGAACTCCCTTCTAAAGATATTACTAATAAGAAGTTCAAGCTAGCACTCCTTCATGAGTTATTACTGAAATGTAAAAATGCAGTTCTTATACTTTTAATGAAATATGACACTTTTTTAGGAAGCCTAATAGAGTTTCTTGCAGAAAAGCCATTAATATCTTTCCCACAGAAAATATTATTCACAAACCACACAGGCCAGTGTACTAACTTTTGAGCTGCAGGCATTTCAGAATTCACAGTTTGCTGTTCTCCCAGGCAACAGATGGTAAACCATTAGTACTTGTTGTATAGCTTTGGTCTCCCAGAAATTCATTCAATCACTCTTTTCCCCCCTTTTTAGCTCACTACTTAGATGCTGTCCGAGGTAAGCCCGTTCTCTCTAGTTTTATAACAGAAAAATATTTTAAACCGAAAATATGCATGTGGGAAAGGAAGTGTTGGTGGGGTTTGGGTGTTGTTTGTTGTTGTTGTTTTTAATGTTGGCAGTCTTACTTAAGTGCAATATTGTCAGGTTCATGCTGTAATAGACTTAAAAGTAATTTGCTTTCCCAATATCAAAGATTCATTTTTTGCCTTAGAGTTTAATAGACTGATAAGCAGTTTTAAGAATTATTTTTCTTTGTCTTGATGTCGAGGGGGGTGTGTGTGTGTGTGTGTCTGTTTATATGACAGAGAGGTAATTATTAAATAAACTAGGTTTAGGTAGACAGCTGAACTTTTTCTCTAACATAACAATATAGCTTTAAGTCCGTGTAGAGTATCCTTACAAGGGCAGAAGAATTATTCCCCTGTTAGTACCTCATCATCCATCCCCACCAGGGATCTGCATTCGATAGAGACTGCAAGGGTTTTTCTGTCAGATTTCCTAGTGCCTTTCATTACCTCAGCCTCAGAAGGTTGAAAATGTCGTACTCAAATTATCCCTAATTTCTCTTTATCCACTGTATGTGCATGAGAATGGAACTAGATAAATTTCTTTCTTAATCTTATACATGTGCGTGAGGAATATATATATAATCTTTTCATATTTTCTAACAGCCATCTGTCATTTTATTTTAAAGTCTTTTCTTCCTCTGGTCTGTTGAGAGTTGCTAGGAAAACCATTTGCAAGAAACACTGGATTACTTCTACAGATTTTTTTAAAAATTCTTTTGCTTTTTATACTTCTGGAATTTTCTTTCAAAGACAGAAAATGGAAAGAATATTGATTGGACTCTCTCCTGTAAAATCCAGATCTGGTCCTGTGTTGCTACTGGGGAAATTTCCAGAAGCTATGTGCCATTATTGCTCTCTCTGTTCATCTGCCCGCTGAGCACTTGGGACATGCAGAGTTGCCCTTTGGAATAGCCTATCTCTGAACCACTGGTAGAAAGAGTAGGTCATCCCTGAGAAATTAAAAGTCTAAATAGAGACCGTCGTTAGTGTTTGTGGTTAGGGTTATCAATGGATAGAAGTCATTTAAGCATTATAATTTCCTCTTGACTATATTTATCCAATTATTCTCTAGAATTCTGAAAGTCTAAATTTGGTGTGCATTAATTCCATAAACATTTGTTGAGCACTTACTACAGGTATACTATTATGCTAGTTTCTGAGCGAGATACCAGATAAGTAAAAAAATCAATCCTTAGCTTTCAGATCAATAATAATCCTGAAGAGAAGAGCTGAATAGGTGTAAAGTAACTGCAGCACATTTCTAAGGCACCATGTGGGCAATTAATGGTCTGAACTGTATACCAACATACCTGAGTCCTGAAGCAACATATCACAAGGGAAAAATCAGCACAGAGTAGCAGTAGTTAGGAGAAGTATCTCTTCATAGAAACTGCTGTCTTTTCCCAACTTTTTGGTCATAACTAGATACAATATCATCCATCCAGTTTTGATTGAGATGAGGAGATACCTTTTTCGAAAAGAAACAAAAAACATGTCTTGTCCCCATCATAGTTTTTATCCTGTCTGAATCAGAGGTTGGGAATTGGGGTTAGCATTAATAACGTTTAATTGGCTCTCTAAGGAAAAGCACAGCAGAGTAAGGGATAACAAGTTCCCTGGGAAGGTGGTATAAGCAAGCAAGCCCCTCTTCCATTTATTCAACACCTCATCTGAATGGAGCCCAGATGATTCGATTTTTCCCTCTAGGCAGATACATCATTGTTGGCCAAACCCATTCTGATGTCTCTGAATTTGTTACTCTCTGCTGTCTTTTCAGATGGCTGCCCAGGGCTCTGCTTTGGAAATGGGCGATGTACCCTGGATCAAAATGGTTGGCACTGTGTGTGTCAGGTGGGTTGGAGTGGGACAGGCTGCAATGTTGTCATGGAAATGCTTTGTGGAGATAACTTGGACAATGATGGAGGTGAGTCATTTATTAAATGTTCATAAAAGAAAGGAATAGCCCAGCCTCTAGCATAGTGATGACCAATCTGGCCAAGAGTGAAAATTAGGAATCCTTATAAAGTCATACTATTTTGTAAATCTCAATTTATTGAATATTTACAGTAACCAGGCAATACTCCAAACTCTTTCCATGTATTATATCTCATTTAATTCTCACAATAACGTTATCAGGTATAGGTACTATTTTCCTTGTTTACAAATGGGAAAACTAATACTTGGAGTGGGGATGGTAAGTGACTTTTCCAGGATCACACAGCTAGAAAGTAACAGAACCAAGGTTCCAATTCAGGGCTATATGACTTCAGTTTCTGTTTTCTTAATTGTTACAGCCATGCTGCCTCCCATATCTGTGGCATTTATCCTACTAAATTAAATCAGCGTACCACTGTCTAAACTGTCAGATGCTAGTGTAGCTTGCACTATACACATCGCGAGGTAGTTTTCTTTGTTCTTAGTTATTTAGAGCTCCCTCTTGTGTCTTTACCTTTTAGTACCACTTTACGTCTTTCAAAGGACACAGCATCATGACAATTCACAGTAGAGTATTTTACATTTAATTCCAGAGCTGCACATGTTTTAGAAAGCCATATGTGGCTCCAAGGCCTCCGGGTAACCACTTCTGTTTTAATCAAGCAAACAAAGGCATCTAATACATTGTACAGTCAGGCCTCAAAACAGCCAAATCACCTCTGAATGAGCCTAAAACAACAAATCCTCACTTTCCTCTTACTTTCTACTCAATAAAACATGAAATTGACAAAAAAAATTATTTCTAATTTCTGTATATTGGCTTAAAATGAAGAAGGTTGTTAAATTTGACTCCTCAAGGTTTCTATTTGTGCTTAGACAATTATATACCTTGTCATTTGAATCCAAATGGGGCTTAAAACAATAAGGTAGCAATCATCGTTTAAGCACCAAATTAGGTGTAAAAGTGTCCTCTTTTATTGTTCTGGCTAACAGTTTACCTTTAAAAGTTATAAGACCTTATGAATTTTAAGTAGAAGCAACTTTCTGATTAAGAGCACAGGGCTTTGAAGTTAGAATTTCTGGGGTCAAATATTAGCTCTGCTATGTACTTCTGGCTGTAGGGTTTGGGAAAAGTTTCTTGCTATCTCTGTGCTTCAATTTCCTTATCTTCAAAATGGGGCTGATAATAGTAATAACTGTCTAATAGGGTTGTTATAAGAATTAAACAAGATAATTCATGTGCTCTACTTAAAGGATGATAAACTACACCAATCAACGCACACGTGCACACAAACACAAACACACACACACACTAAATTTAGGATAACAGACCATTTTCTGAAGAGACTGTTTACTTCCTATCTAATTTGAAATTTTTGTTGGGGAGGCCAGAGTGAGATTTTCAATTAAATGGTACACTAATCAACCATTTACTTGACTTCTGTGGTCCGCCAAGACTCATTTTTTTTTGTTTTTTTCAAGACTCATCTTCTACACCCATCATTCTCAGTTCATCATTTAAGTCCCAACTCAAGCCATATTTCCCATGATACCTCTGACATCCACCACCCCAGCCTACCATGGTGTTTATCATATGCACCATACAATCAAGCACTAAATCATATCCTGTCTATATTGTTTCCTTGTTACATGTTAAGTATGACCCAGAGTCCATAGTTTGATGCCCAATATAATTACTAATAATATTAGCTCACTTGTATTCAGGGTTTACTATGTACAAGGCACTGTGCTGAGTCCTTTATGTGAATAATTTCACTTAATCCTCATGAGGTAGAAACTACTATTAACACTACTTTACAAATTAGGAAACGGAGGCACTGAGAAGTTAAATAAATTGCTCAAGATCATATAGAAAGTAAACGATAGAGCCAGGGTGTAAACCCAGGTGGTCTGCTTCATTCCAAAAAAGATCGGAGGCAGTAATGGAGATTTCTCACTTGATATATTGATTAAAATGTTATGCTCAGAAAATACATTAACAACCTATGCAAGTATAATTTCTTTCTTTCTTTCCTTCTCTATTTATTTGTTTTTGGCTGTGTTGGGTCTTTGTTGCTGCACGCGGGCTTTCTCTAGTTGCGGTGAGCAGGGGCTACTCTTTGTTGCAGAGCATGGGCTCTAGGCACGCGGGCTTCAGTAATTGTGGCTCACGGGCTCTAGAGCACAGGCTCAGTAGTTGTGGCGCACGGGCTTGGTTGCTCCGTGGCATGTGGGATCTTCCTGCACCAGGGCTCGAACCTGTGTCCCCTGCACTGGCAGGCAGAATCTTAACCACTGTACCACCAGGGAAGTCCCAAGCATAATTTCTGACTCAGGGTTGAGCTAAAATAAGTTTCCTGCTTAATAAAGTACAGCTTGATAAAAATAATTGAATAATTATCAAGCATTTTCTGTGGTGTCAAGGTCACCTCAAGGGAGCCAAAAATGTTTAAGGAATGGATCAATTAAATATTAATGAAATAATGGATTATCAGTTTTCAATATCTGTGGTATATATAGATACAAAAGGTATAGAAGATGTTGCTGAATGTGTATTGACCTATGAACATTCCTTTAAAATTGTGTATCTACGTGGGAATCAAAAATCAAAGATGCTGATGTGAGTTTAGTGTATTTTTATGATTGTCTCTTTAGGGAGTAGCAGGGGGAGGCTCCTTGAGATATTCAATTACCATCTTTTCATTTGGTAGGATTAAGATGATACTGATGACAAATAAATATTTAGTTCTACTTTGAGATGGAAAGATGGATTAAATAACCTCTGAAAGCCTCATGACTAAGATTTTGGACAATATCCATTTTTATACTGTTTAAGTAACATCCCTAAGAATATATTAAATGCCCTGCATTTGGTGGTCTCAGCTTTCCAGCTATCCAGAATGGCTGGATTCATTTCCAGCCATCCAGAATGATTGTATATGCCTAATGATTAATATTTGCATACTTGTTTGTGCATGTATGTGTGTGAGTTTTAATTAAATCAGAAAGTGCCAATTGAACCTTTTTGGGGAAAAAAAAGTGGTCCTAATTTTTTAAATGTTAATTCTTAAGAAATCTTCCCAGTCAAAAAAAAAAAATCACTTTCAAGCAGTTGCTTCAAGTAGCTGCTTCCTGATTACTACATATCATTGCTGATACTTAAACAACGGCAGGATTTTTTTTTTTTTGCATTCTAATCAGCTTTGAATACTCATTAGTATTACTGCTACTTCCTGAAGCTTTGACTTTAGTTACACTCTGATTCAATGCATTGTGACTCTTAGTAACTAGTTGGGCTCATTGAATATGTGGGTGACACAGGTCTAGGAGCTACCTAAGAGCTCCTTGAATAATAAAAACAGAACTAAGAACAAATAACCCTTGGATTTTTTTCTTAACATGCAAAAAAATTGAAAACTGTCTTTTACATTGTATATTTAAGAACTAATTACTACAGAAATCACAAATCTATCAAATGTCTTGACCTCATGTATCCCTTTAGTCAACAAGCACATACCGTGGACACAACCTTGTGCTTGGAAGAGGAGACTTAACCTTATGGTGACCACATTTTTCATGTGTTCATCATGTGTCCTGATTTAGGGTTTGAAAAATATAATCACCATACATTACATGCACATATGAATTGACATGAGAAAAAAAGTTTAGACATTGTATTAACTGAATCAGAATAGCTAAAACAAAGAATAGTGAGAGCAAGCTAGAACTATCAGATGTTAAAATAATATTTTAAAACTATGATAATTAAAACAAAATGGTACTGATGTAAGCATAGACAGATCAGTACAACTGAATAAAAGCTTCAGGAACACACCCCAGTACAAATATTTAGGATATTATAAAACCAGTATCAAAAATCAGTGGGGAAAAGAAACATTATGAAATAGGTGGTGCTGAGACAACTATTAAGGAAAAAAAAAGCTTAGATTTTCAATACATATCTTATTCCAAAAGAATAAAATAAATAAAAACACTGCAGCCGATTAATGAGTTGAAGGCAAAAGAAAACTCAAACACAGTTAGAAGAAAACGTAGGTGGTAGATCTCAAGATTGGAAAGGACTTCTTAAACATAAAAGCTAGGAGAGAAACCACAATAGGAAAAAAATGATAAGTTGGACTTCATAAAAGTTTCCAACTTCTTTGTATTCTTTGGCTAAGTTTATAGACCATCCAACATCTATTTGGAGATACCAAAATCTGCATTGTCTGATATGGTAGCCACTAGCCACATATGACTCTTTAAATACAATTTAAATAACATTAAAAATTCCATTTCTCCGTTGCACTAGCCACATCTCAAGTGCTCAACAGTCACATGAGGCTAGTGACTACTGTGTTGGTGCACATCTAGAGCATTCCTATCAATGGGGAAAGTTCTATTGGATAGCGCTGATCCAAATGTTTGACTCAAAGAGTTGTTTACCTTTCAGCCAAACATTTCAGATTGGGCACCCAATTTTCCATTCATTCATTGCTACTTTGTGCTGAGTATTGTGCTTGACACTGAGGAGAAAATGCCAAACAAGTTTCTGCCTTCATGGAGCTTATGGTTTAGGTATTAAACAAGAAACCACACAAATAACTATATATTTACAATTGTTTAGAGTGCTGTAAAGTTTTTAAGAGTGCTATAAACATGTATAGCAGGACCTAACCAGGTCTATATGGCAAGGGGAGGCCTCACATGAGTCAGGGGAAGAATGTTCCAGGCCAGGGAAACAGCATGTACAAATGCCCTGAGGTGGAAATATACTAGACTCTTCTAGAAAGTGAAAGGTAAGTCATTGTGGCTGGAATACAATGAGTCAGGGAGAGATTGGTGGGAGATGAGAATATAAAGGTAGGCACTGGCCTGATTATACAGAACATTGTAAATTTTTAAAGATCTTCAGCTATCAAAGATTACAGTTTAGTCCCTCAAGTCATAGAGGAAGGAAGGTGACTTCTGATACTGTGGAACGATTGT